AAACTCTATGTTGTCATTCAAAAAGTAAAAACTTAAAAAAATGATAAGGATAAAAAATATTTTAAAATACATTTTTTAACAAAAACGTAGGTTTTTAAACAACTTGAAACCATATAAAAAAATATTTTCAAAAACATTAGTAATTTTTGAAATAATGAGTGTTCAATGATAAAAGAATCACCCAGCATATTATAATGACAACAAATTTATATAATTATTACATAATATTATTACTGTAGTGTTAGTATATTATTTTATTATTATTTATATTAAGTAATTATGCAAAAATTGACATATTRATTAGGAACAGCTTTTATCACATACCTAGGTACCTTTTTAGCTTATTTATTTATTGTATTATAGTGATTTGATCGTATGAGTATTGAGTATATAGGTACACATGTCAAGGTCTCCCATTAGCATGATGTATTATATAAAAGTCGAAATGAAAATTCCCAAAGTCAATACTTAAATAACAATAATTATGATAGTTAATATAAAAGCCGATCGCAGTTTAGTTGCCATAATATATACGTAACAATAATATAAATATGTGTGTATTTAATAATATATTATTCATTGATGTAGTACCTACCTAATATACTTAAATAATAATAATAATTAATAACCTTGGTAAAAATGTTTGGACTTATACTAACACTGATAGTTTATCCTAAGATTTACCAAATCTCGTTTGTAAAAGTCCAAACTACAAAAATCATTCGGGGTTTGACCAAACGATGTTGTGTATCCTAGGTTTAACCGGTATTCGTACTTTTACCGTAATATATGTATAAGTACTTATACATTTATATATAATCCATTGTGCTTGTAATTTAAGTAAATATAGTTAGGTATTATATATTATGAAATATACTTATATTTCCTATACCTATAATCTACATAAAAAGAATTAAATTTAAGGGTGTAAAAATGTAATATATTAGACGAATTGTTTAAAAACATTTTACACAATTTGCAAACATTAACTAAACTAATTGACTATATAAACGGGCATTCAATTGATATAGATTAATTATTATAATAACATTAATAACCAATTCACCAATTTGAGAATAGGTATGAAAAATTGCAATTATATATATATAATATATAATATATATGACACGAGTTATTTTACACATATATAAATAACTACAATTGTAGTACCTAACTGCATCAGCATCAATTGTTGCAATCAACTATAATATTATTATTATTTTATGCTTATTCACATACTAATATCTAATATTATTATATCGTTAATACAATTTTATAATCGTACAAACACTGTCACCCGCAATATTAGTAGTGAGACCGCTTGAAATTGAATGTTTAAAGCAGAGTCACAACTCATACAATACGTATAATTATAACTATCAAGTATCAGTACATTTTACTTTCCCGTAGGTTCAAAATCACCAGCATGACTAAATTTCGATTAATAAAACTCCCATTATGTGCACCACTAATGCATAAATCACGCGCTATTTAAAGTTTTAGTCACTTTAGTCATCCTTCAGTTGTCAAATATTGAAAGTGTAATTTCATATAGAAATATAACTATTTTAAATTTACGAAATTTACACATCRCCCCAAATCTGAAAATTCATGAAGTTTTCTTAAGCAAGATGTGTTTTTGACCAAGACAAAAATAACTTGTGCTAAAAATTTACTAAAATTTAAATAAACGAAATTTAATATGCAATATATAGGTACTCATATACATATACATACTAACATACTAATACCTATTTATACTAAGCGTTTCACACTATTACGGTTGTAAAAATATGAAACCATAAAAAAAAGATAAATAGATAGGTACAGCAGGCGCATACTATATTAAAACAATATATTATATTATTT